CCGGAGTTACGCTATCTAACTTGTCACATATGGGCCCTGGAATGATGATTGCTCCGGGAAGGAAACTGGGTGATGGGTCTTGGACGATGTGTTGGTTGCCTTATAAGAGCTCCTCTTTCGGGACTCTCGTCAAGGGTTTGACAAAGATGGAAATGGGCACGCATGTGAGTATAATTGTTGTCGTTGCCGGGGATAGAACCTGTGCGGGATTTGCCTGCGAGGGATCGTGTACTTGAGTTCGAATTGTGACATGAAATTTACTTGTATTTTCCATGAGAAAAATAGTACATGATCATCATCATCGTCATCACGGTTTCGATTTAGACTGAGATGTCCCATCTTTGGAAGGAGAAGTCGGTAGTTGCATGGAAGATCGAGCCAGCGAACAAGCAGAGTGAAACAACGGGCGAGGGAGCGACAGTGGACGGCGAGGCAGTTCCTAGAGGTAGTCTTTATATGTACTAGGCCTCCGTGACGAAGGGACGGAGCTCATTCAGTCCACGTCTATTGATTAGATCAATGAATCTCACCTAGGTCCCCGGTTCGATCCCCGGGTAGGACGTTTTTCCGTCATTAAAGATTTTCGTGCATATCTCTTCGAGCTGTTCGTATAATCGAGTTTTGCCTACACCTTGGCATATAGAGAAGTCGTTTGATCTATTTGATAGCCTCCTACGCTGCGTAGCTAAGCAGAATAATTCTGCACGCACGCACAACGCGAAAGTGCCTGTTGTTGCTCCCTTCGCTCGTTCCGCAATTAAAGAGATCGACATATATCATATTGCTTCTATCCAGGTATCCTTTGTGGTTATGCATTACCACGACTAATGAACGTATATGCCTCACAAGGAAGTGCTGTGCAGAGTGATGGTTATTAAAATGTATCATTTGCCGGCGCTTTCCGTGTAATATATGTGGCCTGCACTGGGTGTGGCGACTGGCGTAAGCTACTTCTTATCTTCAGTCTACTTGATTTCATCTAGTAGTTTCCAACTTCACGATTTTGTACACTTGTAAGATCCCGTCACTCTCCAGTGTCATCGTTCACCTGACTACCTCTGTTAATTTCAGTTTATTCATTATTCTCTCACGAGTTAGTTTTCTCTGTGGTTTTCGGTGGGCACTAAGGAATAGTTATAATTTCGAATATGGATCTAATTCATGACTTCTTCGATGATGCACTATTCTTTTACCGGTCGAATCCATCTGTTAAAGGAGGTCAACCGAAAAACAGGTTCAAAGTGACAGTTCACAGTGACAAGGTAGGGCGGAAACACTAGCTATAATAATTATTCATTTCTAGTTGAGTATAGTGCCTGAGGGTTCGAATACTCCAATCGACGTTGTTGTCTTTGAGGATGTCGTAGCGGTGAACCATGGGGACCTGACGATGCAAGTATTATTACAGTTGGGTCGTGTTTTCATAGGCAGTAGTTTACTCATGTCAGATCACGTTGTTGGAAGCTAAACCTAAGGGCTGTTTTTCTAAGGCAGGGAGACGGCGAAGAGATGTATATTTAAAGAGGCAGCAGTCTTCGAATACACGTGAGGTTCTCCGATGGATGGTACGGTGACCTAGCTCGTGTGTAGTTGACTTGACTGCTACGGCGCTACTTCATTATGCCCTTGGGGACTTGGATGAAATGGTGAATAGTGCGGAGTGCCCGACTCGAACCAGGGTCCTACTGCTCATCAATCCGGCTAGTGGCAAGGGCAAGGCTGAGAATCTGTAGGGAACTTCATTCTCGGGAAGGTCTGCTAGTTTTTGTTATTGCTGCTGTTGCTGTGAGGTATTATAAGTATGCTGCACCACTGTTCAAGTTGGCTGGTGATCGATTCGCGGTTGAAACTGTGAAGACTGTGAGTACTCAACATGTTCGGCATCTGGGAATGGACAATGCTGATAAATATGATGCCTTCATTACGTGTGGTGGCGATGGGGTCATGCATGAATTACTGCAAGTAGCGTCACGCGCCATGAAATTGCAGCTAGGATGTTCAACTTGTTCAGGGCATATATCACCTGCCTGACGGGCAATACCTCATTAAACACTTGAAGTTCGGCATGCTCCCTGGCGGCAGTGGTAATGGTT